AGTGAGGTAGTAAAGTTTGCGGATGATACCAAACTGTTTAGGATAGTCAAGACAGAAGCAGACTGTGAGGGACTCCAAGAAGATCTCACCAAACTCAGTGATTGGGCAGCAAAATGGCAAATGAAATTTAATGTGGATAAGTGTAAAGTAATGCACATCGGGAAAAATAACCCCAACTATACGTACAGTATGATGGGGGCTAATTTGACTACGACAAATCAGGAAAGGGATCTTGGAGTTATCGTGGACAGTTCTCTGAAAACTTCCACACAGTGTGCAGCAGCGGTCAAAAAGGCAAATAGGATGCTAGGAATTATTAGGAAAGAGATAGAAAATAAGACCCAGAATATCTTACTGCCCCTGTATAAAACTATGGTGCGCCCACATCTTGAATACTGTGTACAGATGTGGTCTCCTCACCTCAAAAAAGATATTTTGGCCTTGGAAAGGGTTCAGAAAAGGGCAACTAAAATGATTAGGGGTTTGGAACGGGTCCCATATGAGGAGAGGTTAAAGCGACTGGGACTTTTCAGTTTAGAAAAGAGGAGACTGAGGGGGGATATGATAGATGTATATAAAATCATGAGTGGTGTGGAGAGGGCCGATAAAGAAAAGTTATTTATTAGTTCCCTAAATAGAAGAACTAGAGGACACCAAATGAAATTAATGGAGAGCAGGTTTAAAACTAATAAAAGAAAGTTCTTCTTCACACAGTGCATAGTCAACCTGTGGAACTCCTTGCCAGAGGAGGCTGTGAAGACTAGGACTATAATAGAGTTTAAAGAGAAGCTAGATAATTTCATGGAGGTTAGGGCCATAAAAGGCTATTAGCCAGAGGATAAAATGGTGTCCTTGGCCTCTGTTTGTCAGAGGCTGGAGAGGGATGGCAGGAGACAAATCGCTTGATCATTGTCTTTTGTCCACCCTCTCTGGGGCACCTGGTGTTGGCCACTGTCAGCAGACAGGATACTGGGCTAGATGGACCTTTGGTCTGACCCAGTATGGCCGTTCTTATGTTCTTATGAGTGCTTACCTGAGGTGTGGTTTATGCAATCCCGGTAGAGCTGAGTGAAGATTTTTTGCTAACAAAACAAAACAAGAGTGTTTTGATTGAACAAAAATTATTGAAGATATTAGTTACTACTAGTCCCAGGGCACTTTTTTGTATGAAGCCAAACATCTATTCCCCTTCCTAATCCCTTCCTAAGCTCTTAATATGAATAACATGTTGTCAGAGCCTCGCAAGCCTGTATGTTGGGCTGGCTGTTCCTAATGTTGCATGCTCTTCTCTAGACCCCCCTCTATCCTCTGTGCCTCTGTTCAGTCCCTTTGGGGGAAGGGCCAAACTTCGCAACACTGAAGGTAAAAATCAAAATGTCCTAAAAGCCTTTAGTTGTCTCTCCCTTCCAAAATATTGGAGACCCCAAGAAGGTGAAATATGCTTTTTGGAACATATGAAAGCTTTCATTAGATTACACATTCCTGCAAAAATCCATTGGCCATCCTTATTTCTGCACACCCTTCTAAGTTTGCCTCTGTCGCACCTGTAGAAGCTATTGCCTGCTTATTGTGCACTAATTCGGTGGTGTCTTTTATGGCGGCAAAGGGCTGTTTGCCACGCATTAGACTAGCACCTGGGGTTGTCTTGTATGTTTGGAAGTCTTCATGTGAATTAAGAGCTACTAACCTTTCTATGTCGTAACAGACTTTAGACAATCTGAAGGAAGGGAAACATAATCTGCGGGTGCGCCCTGCAGATATTCCAATAGCTGAACGAGCGTCCATGAACTACTGGAGAACGCAAAAATGCATCAGCAAACCCTCCGAGTTTCCTATGAAGAGCCCAGCATTTACCGGTAAATGCCCCAGTGCTCCTCTCTGGGACTGTCTCTAATACAGTAAATTACTCAGCAAGGATGCAAAAGGTTAGCCGATGTACCGCTTCCAGCAGCTCCCATTGGCTGGGAATGGCAGTCTGTGGCCAATGGGAGCAGCAATCACCGGTATCTGTGGAAGTGCTGGTAAGCAAAGCGTCTAGAGCAGGCATGTCAAACAGGTCTCTGGAGGGCCACGTGAGGACCACTTGACATTTTTTGCGGGCCGACACTACATTGTTATAAAAGAATAAAGTGCTCCCACTGGCCGCTCAGAGCATGTGGTTGGTGGGGCTGTGAGTGCCTGGCTCTGGGGGAGGGAGGAGGCATTAGGTTGCGGGGGCTGGGAGTGCCTGCCTCTGGGGGAGGGAGGAGGCATTAGGTTAGGGGGGGCTGGGGGG